AGCCAATCCTATTTCATCTGTCAGCATGACACCACGTCTCTGTGTCCTTGAGTTCTCCCTAACCAGCGGAAACCTCCAGTTACGTGCCAGTGATACTGTACACAGCTGGTGACTATGATACTATACATACATATGTTTACCTTTCACCCACCATAGTCCATCAAGTGGCCATTATTTTACCGTGCGTGTATGTCCGTGTTTAGATTTGCTAAGTATTACAAAAAAAGCTTTACAATATTAATTACGTGCCTCTATTTTCAGAGAAAATACCCTTTTAAATGTTGAACTTTGTCAGATGTGGCTACAGAGGATATATAAAGCTCACTTGTTTAGTGGGACAGTGTGTGAGGGATAAAGTTAAACTGGTATTTGATTTGCACAGCCCAAGAGCTTGTGCATTATCTGGCGCTCATCCCTCCCTTCCTCTGTAGGATTATGAGCAGAAAGAGAGACCTTGACATTAGTGCCTGGACACTCATAACACTCTAATGTGTTCACATTCCACCCCCTTCTGAAGAGGCCGATTTATACTAGAGAACTGAAGCTGTGCTCTTACACCTCACCGTTTCCGTTTTGAGAAACATAAAACATCACAATGAGTTCACTATACTCAAATGGCAGTCTACAGTCACCAGATGTCAATCCAATAGCACCTTCTGGAGGATGTATCTATCTATCTGAGTTGATATCTAATCTATCATTTGATTAATAGTTTATTGTAGATTCCATTGTTTGTTTGATTTGTTTATTTGAAATGAAAGCATGGAGTTTAAGTACAGAAGCCATACATTCTCCAAGAGAATCGGTGATCAAATAAAGAGGAAGGAAAAATAGTTTGATGCAGAAATGTACAAAAAGCAGCTTTGACAGAAGGACTCCAACCTGAACATGCAAAGACATGCAACATACCAAAGCAACATCTCTGTGTGCACAACACACTAAACCCATAAAAAAGAGAGAAAAAAAGGACAAAGGATTGTAAATTAATCAGATATGCTACATTTTTCTTAACACATTTAGCAAAACGTAACAATTACAAGAGTGCTTGCAGAAATGAAAACATTACATGGCAATGGATGGGGACAAAAATCACATTATATCATAAATCCATATTGACACACTATATACAAAAAGGGAAAAATAAATATGCCAGGAAATAAATACTACCGATTCACACTTGTTTTAAAGATAACAACGCTACATTGATGAGAGTGTAACTCACACCTTTCCAACCCACTCACCTCATTCACACCTACAAGCTCTCCTGCCTTTCACACGCTTGCACATAAAGAACAGAAATCCGACAAAAACAACATTGTCTTCATACAGCACAGTGGTAGATATATATTTATGGCCAATTTGACAGTTCTCTGCCAGTCTATGCATATGAAATCTCCAGCTATTATGATCAGAAGTATTTCGATAAAGAAGTGCAGTCAGATGAGAAGATAAATATATGTATGTATCTGTTTTACTTGAGGTTTCTAGAGAGTTTAAAAGAGGCTACACAGCAGCTGAATGACACATGACCACAAAACATGCCTTGCAATGCAATTTCCAAACATGCGATCACTGAATTTTTCATGCAAATTATGGAAAGACCCTATTTTCTGGATAGCTGACCAGTGGGGTCATTACATTAAAAAGCAGGAAAACATTGATTATTGAAGAACTTGCGAGTCAGATTTGGTTAAGAATCCTTCAACGATAATCAACTTTTCCTCCAATAGGGGGTGGCAAAGCCTCAATTTACTGTAAGATCAGACCAGAAAAGGTTTGCATTGCACAAGCATATGTCAACTTGTATTTTGTAATGCATGGATAATGCAACCTACTGTAAGTGGATTATATTTGCACGCTGAGGCTATTAAAGTACGATGTTTTAAAATGAAGGCCTGTTCACACCAAAAACGAATAACTATAAAGATAACTAAATTAGCATCCACACCAAAGCACAATGTTAATGGTGCTTATTGTATTAAAGGTGCAGTTATGTTGTCTGCCTCTCAAAACGCTCAAGCTCTTTAAAGCAGGATGTATTCTGATTGACTGTCTGTGTTTTTT